TACATGGAGTTTTTAATGTTCCTTTTATTTCTGCATCTATAATCAGTAAACCCTAATGCAAACTGAGTACATTTTTTTAATATAATTATTTTATTTAACTGTTTATTTATTATTTATTTATTTGTTTATTTCAATCTGACCAGAGAGGGACAGAGTGAGAGAGGGAGAGAGAGTGAGAAAGCAAGCCGCCAGGTCCAGGACTTGAACGGTGGGCCATGTGGGAATCCAACGCCTTTAACCACCATGCCACCTGTGGGCCCGCAAACTGAGTACATTTTTTTTCCGCTTGGTTTTTACCTATAGAAGATACCCATTTGGCACTGTGATCAGTATTATGTCTGAAAATGAATATAAACAATTGAGCCATCACAAAACAGCTCATACGAGAAGGAAGATAATTATATTAATAAATACAATAGTGTACAATCCATTTTTAAAAATTTCGTCTATGGAATTTTTCCTCTTCAAGTATGAAAATAGTGGACAAGTATAAAATTATGCTGGTCATTGATTTTGGAATGTTCTGTTGGTTCCAGTTCTAAAAAGAAATCTTTAGAATTAAGTTTCCAGGACCAGCAGGTGATATGGTGGTTGAGGCACTGGACTCCTACATGGCTGACTGCAGTTTGAGTCCCAGACCTGGAGGCTTGTGTGTGCTCTCTCTCATGTCCTATAGCAAGTTAAAAAATAACAATTTTTTTTAAATGTTGGTAACATTTTTCCTAATTGTTTCCTTTATTTAGCTGTTTAAAATAATTATTTACATTGTGGTACATCTTTGTGGGATCCTTTATGTTAACTTTTACATTTTTTTTTCACATTTTGCTACAGGTGTCCCTGCTAGAGAGAAATACAGAAAGATTGAAAGGGAAAGTGAGAAATCACCTCCCCCAGGTGGTTGGGGGAGATGGCCATGTCATAGTCCCTTCTCCTTCAGTGTCCTCTGGGGACTTTGGGCAGCATGCACATGTGCCCCAGTGGGGTTTTTGTTTTTTAATTTAACTTTCTTGATTGATGTATTTATTTCAATTTGACCAGAGAGGGACAGAGAGAGAGAAAGTGAGAAAGCTGCCAGGTCCAGGACTTGAACCATAGTTGGCCATGTGGGAGTCCAGCGCCCTTAATCACCATACCACCTGCCAGCCCATTTTTGTTTTTCAGGTTTTTTTTAAAGAAGTATTTTATTTAACCTTATTTATTAATTTATTTTTACATTTTTGACTAGAGAGGCGACAGAGTAAGAGCAAGAAAGAGAGAGCAAGCGAGAAGGCAAGCTGCCAGGTCTAGAACTTGAACCATGATCAGCCATGTGGGAGTACAGTGCCCTTAACCACTGTGCCACCTGCTGGCCTCTTGTTTCTTTTTTCTTTCTTTCTTTCTTTTTTTTTTTTTTTTTTTGAGGGGTTTTTTTGTTTTAGGGGGCTGGCGCTCCCCCTCGCCAGAAAGAGAGAGACAGAGGAAGAAAGCTAGAAATCATCCCCCAGGGGGGATGGCCACACTGGCAATCCCTTCTCCATTCTCCTTTTGGGATCTTGAGCACTCATGCACACGCGCCCTGCGTGAGCTTAAGGCACAGGGTCTGGAACTTGAACCGTGGTCAGCTACATGGGAGTTCAGCGACATAGCTATTAAGCTAACTGCTGGTCCCCCCCACCCCGTTTTTTTTTTTCTCATTTTTGTTTTTTAAGAGATTTTTGCTATTGCATGTGTGCACTTGCCCGTAAGAAATCATCCCCCCAGGGGGATGACCACCCCACAATCTCTTCTCCATTCTCTTCTCATGATCTTGGGCACCCACACACATGCGCCCACATGAGTTTTGAAGCTGCCGGTCCTGGACGAGAACCGTGATTGGCCATGTGGGAGCCCAGTGATGTAACCATTATGCCATCTACTGTTCCCCCGGCATTTTTTTTAAGCCATCTGGTCCAAAACGCAAAGTTGGCCATGTGAGGTCCAGCTGTCTTAACCTTCAGGCTACTTTCTGGCCCCCTTTATGTAAATGCATTAGGAGATAATGCTGTACAGAAGAAAAAGCAGGTGTTTTTAGATGAAGGACCAGCAGCTTGTGGAATGGTTATGCCACTGGACTCCCACATAGTCCACCCTAGTTTGAGTCCTGGACCCGTGGCTTAAACTTGAACCGAGCATATGTGTGTGCCTGTCCAAGATCCCAAGAGAATGGAGGAGAAGGGATTGCAGTGTGGCCATGCTCCTAGGGGGATTATTTCTCACTTTCTGTCTCTCTCTCTCTCTGGCAAGCACATGTGCCTTGTAGCAAAAATCTTTCAAAAAAAAAAAAAAAAAGGTAAAGGAATACAGAATTGAATCTCAGTCTACTTAATAGCTGTGACTTTGGACATGGTATTTCTCTGTAACCTCAGTTTCCTTACCTGTGAAATGAAATCAGATGATTCACCATTTTTGCCTGGAGGCAGTCCATGTTCTCTCCTGACTTGTGACTTGATTTAAGTTGTTTAGACTGCCCCTGTGACCCCCCAGTGACTCCAACACCAATACTGATGATATGTGGAGCATGTATTGTGTTTAAGGAACTATGCCAAGCTTTTTACATGGACAGTCTGACTTAACCCTCATAATAGCCTTATAAGAAGTATAGGGAGGGGATGATTTTTTGCTTCCCGTCTCTCTTTGTCTCTCTGGCCAGCACACATGCCCTATAGCAAAAATCTCTCTTAGAAAGAAAGAAAGAAAGAAAGAAAGAAAGAAAGAAAGAAAAAGAAAGAAAGCTCTGAAAGCCAGAGGGAAGAGCCTGGTGGCAGGTGGGAAAAACAGGAAGGTAGTTTTCTAGTCCAAGAAAGCAGTGGTAGGATCTGAAAGAGGCAAGAGCTGTGGAAACTAGGAAAGTGTATGGACTTTTCCAGAGATGCTTAAAGAAGCAGAAAGATGAAGTGACTTATTGAATGTGTGGAGCTAGGGAGGGGTTGTTGAAGGTAAAGTCAAGTTTCTGGCATAGGTACTTCTTTTGTTTTGTTTTTAGATTTTTGCTATAGAGAGTATGTGCTCACGGGAGACACAGAAAAAGACAGAGAGACAGAAAGTGGGAAATCACCCCGCAGAGGGGAAGGCCATGCCACAATCCCTTTTCTTCCATTCTCCTTTTAGAATTTTGGGTATGGACACACAGGCCTGACTTGAGTTTTAAGCTACCAGGCCTGGGACTTGAACCACGCTTGGCTACATTGGAGTCCAGCAACATAACCATTATGCCATCTTCTGGTTCCACAAGTCTAAGACCCTAACATAACTGTATCATCCACAGAAAGACAGTTCTGTGTTCCAAAGTCTGGTATGGAACTCTCTGGGCTAAAATCAAGGCTACAGGGCCGAGTTTCTTTCTAGCGACTCCAAGGGGCTTAAATTTGCTTTTTTAACTCTCCCTCTCTCTCTAAAACTCATACCACACCTTTTACTTATT